TGCCAGTCCCCAGCTCTCCATCGACACCGTGTTTCTGCACCGAGACCTTTTGTCCCGTGACTTCAGCCATCTAGATCACGTGACAACTAGCAGTTGTCGTCACTTGAGAAAGGCGACTTGAGTTGAACTTCTGAGCCATTCAAACGACAACGTCCGGACCCAGTTTTAACGAATTTTTTTCACTAACAAGTAGATTCCATGCTGCCGTGCTTTTGTTCAGTAAATGATCAGATGGCGACAAAATGTGGTAAGAAGAAAAAAGTGGCTCACGAGCTGTTAAGCGGGTGTGTCACTAATGTTTATACCTTATTTTGACGTCATCTGATACTAATTACTGACCAGACATACGACAATATGGAATATACTTGTCCTTTCTAGTAAAGAAACAAAAACTGTTAATGACGTCATCCATGCGTCTGTTCTCAAATTGATCATAAGTAAGAACCAGAGCAATAACGAACCTCAGGACGAACCTTTATCACTGTAGTTCTGTTGAAGGTGGCCAGAAGCCACCGAAAATTTAGAGCAGAAAAAACAGATTGGATGACGAAAACCGTCTAAAAATATCTCACCGATCGATACTATCCTAGGATTGACAACTATGCTCTTTTTATTAGTTTCTTTTCTTTTTTTTGATAAAAGTAATGTATTTTGGCTTAAATCAGTATTATTCGTAGAAATCGATGGAAATTCTAAGAAAATTCGACCTCTCTTTGAATACATTATTTCGCCATAAACATTCGGCGGAAACCAGGGCGGAAAAAGGCCGCCCTACATACAAGCGCCCTGGCGGAAACCATTCTTGGGGAGACTATGGTTATCTATTTTGAAACTCAGACATTGGAAATTTAATTACCTATTTTTTTTTTTTTTTGCTCAGAATATAAACAGGGCTTCACGAGTGTGGTTGCTGAGTTGAGTTGCTCGCTAACCTTAAGAAACCTAGTTCTAAAAAAAAAAGACCTTTAACAGTTGTTGCTGCTCTTTAACAACAATTAGTAACAATTCCTATAAATGTTTGCAATTTTTAAGAACCCGGTCAAAGTTCGCTCAAACTTGCTAAT